GGGGGAGCAGGGGGGGGGGGGGGGGGGGCCCCCCCGCCCCCCCCCCCCCCCCCCCCGCTCACTCTCCCTTTCCACTAGGGCTCTCTGGAGGGCAGGGGCTGGGGGAGGGGGTGGGGCACCCCAAGCGAAATAAGACGGCACTGAGGCAGCTCACTGACCCAGACCAGTAAATGCGGCGCCAGTCCGGGCCGGGTCTAACAACCGCGCTATCAGCAATACTTACTCACACACACAAAAATAAATGAATAAAAACAAGTAACTGCTGGTACAGTTTGATATATTAGTTGGTATTTCGACAGGAAATAATATTAAAAGTTGCTGGAACAACGTTTTTATGTTTTTTAACCGATTATTGCGGCGTTTTTAGAAGGAGAGCGTATTGACTGTAAGAGCGTATACGTTCCTCTTCCCCTGAAAATGATGTCTCAGAATCAGTTCTAGGCTGCTTCAGATGAAATTCTGCAACGAATAGCCCAGGGTTGTCCCAATAACTTACTAGGTTATCCGTACCGGGTGATTCAGAGAGGGTGCAGGGTGCGAGCGGGATTGCCTACTCCCTCCACCCAAGGGGCTGTGATGCCTAACGGGTAGAGCGGTAAGGAAAACCCCCCGCACCTGCGTCTTCTCTGAATCACCCGGTACATAAATACCAGCGAATAAGTTAGTTGTGGCAGCGAGTGTTTTGTCTTAGTGCACGCGCCGAACAAGTGCCCCACTTCTCCTCCCCTCCAGAAAAAGGGAGCGTGTCAACAAAATTAATTTCAGGTGCAGCGGCACTTGGGCGGGACACGGTACAAAATAGCCTCGCAACACCCCGCTCGCTCCACGCACTTGGCGTCGAGCACCTCAAAGTTATCAGCTCTGGACGATGCAAGGCCGCGCAGAGCACGAGGGCGTGGCGGGGGGGGGGGCGTGCGAACCTCGAGTGGCCTCTGAAGGGTGCGACCCGGCTGTGGCCACTCATCTGATAAGGATAGGGCCACAATGAGGCACTCTGCTGAGTGTGAGAGGAGAGGGAGAGAGAGAAATGAGGGGCGTACAGAGCGGTAAAGCAGAGAGGGAGAGAGAGAGAGAGAGAGGATCTTAAGAGGCGTGTGGCGTAGGAAAACGCTGCTCGCTGGACTCCTCCCCGGAAGGAAACTCCAGCGCGCTAAATATTCCCTGGCGTCATGAATAATTCTCGCTGGCCTTTGCCACGATGGAAAAAGAAGTACTCACACACACGAGCGAGCACATACACGAACAAACACACACACACACACACACACACACACACACACACACACACACACACACACACAGCGGTCTTTGTCTCCCCCCTTCACGCGACCGACGCACGGCCTACTTTCCGGCCTAGTACGCCGCAGGCATCGACGTTCGGACCGATGCGACGCGATACGCCAAACACCACGGCAACGCCGCGCCCCAGGTGACCGAACGTGGCCATCGAGAACGTAAGCGCGCGCTCGATCCACAAAGAGAGGGAGAGAGGGGGAGAGAGAGGGAGAGGGGGAGAGGGGGAGAGGGAGAGAGGGAGAGAGGGAGAGAGGGAGAGAGGGAGAGAGAGAGGTTTTACGCATGGGCGCGCTTTCGCGCTTGGCATACAGAAATCGCCTTATTGGCTGGGGGCTGAACAGAAAAAGAGACGAATAGGAGGAGCCATAGAGAGCTCACCACGGCTTGCCATAGAGATTAGCGAAGCGAAAGGGGAAAAGGGTGGAAGTTTAATATTGAAAATACAGTCAGTCATCATTCTGGTGTATCAGTGTGAGTCGCGGATAGAGCGCCTGCGGGGTAGGCCAGCCCGCCACTCAGGGCTGCGCGCTTCAACCGTCCATCGCCTACCTCACAGGCGCTCCGTCACGACCAGCTGGGGACGCACGGGACGGAAGGAAGTAGAAGTCGCGCACCATAACGCCTCCCGCTGCTCCGAGCTCTGCTATCCAACCCAAACAAAACCGAGCGTGCGGTGGACGCGCGCTGC